AAAGCAGTAAAAACAGTAATATTGTGAAATATTATTACAATTTAAAATCACTGTTTTCTATAGTAATCTATTTTAAAATGTTATTAATTCCTGAGATAGCAAAGCTGAATTTTCAGCAGCCATTCGTTCAGTGTTCAGTGTCACATGATCCTTCAGAAATCATTCTAATAAGCTGATTTGCTCCTCAAGAAACATTTATTGTTATGAATGTTGAAAACAGTTGTGCTGCTTAATATTTTTTGCATGAAACCATGATGCATTTTTTCAGGATTCTTTGATTCTTGAATAAAAAGTTCAAAAGAACAGCCTTTATTTGAAATAAAAATAAAATAAAATTACTCTATCAATTTAATGCACCCTGGAATAAAAGTATTAATTTCTTAAAAAATAAATAAATAAATAATATAGGTTGAACATCATTTCATAGCAGTGTAACAAACCATGTCATAATCTTCCCAAACAACCATTTAAACATACCTTTTATCTGCAAGGTCTGTTTTGTTTCCCACCAGCATTATTATGACATCACCTCCCCGTTCTGTTCGGACATCATCGATCCATTTGGTGGTCTGCTGGAATGAGTTGACATCTGTCGGGGGGATTTCAGAAACACTGGGTTAATAATCAAGATGAGCATCAGGGGGTCTATAGGAGAATCCCAGGATCATACACAGGGAGACACAACTGGCAGGTAGAAAAAAAAACACAGGGATAAAATAAGAGGAAAGAAAGGAGGAAGTTAAATAGCTGGAAGTGTCTCTGTTATCATGAATGTGTCACAGGAACTTGGTCTGCAGAAAGAGTTCATCTAAAAAAGAAATAGACAAATCATCTCTCCTCAACATCAAAATGGTGAAAGAATGCATATTCTTTTTTATAAATAATTCAAATATTTTGATATGAACAAAATATATTTAACAAAAAATATATTTTTAGCAAATATAAAAATGTGTTGCTAAAAATAATGGTTTAAAAAGCAATGGTTGGATTAGTGAAAATATTATTAGGAACTTACTTTTGAGTGTTGCGGGTGTAAAATTAACTTTCAGCCACAACTGCCAAAAATTTACTGGTCATTTATATTTTTATTGCCCATTAAACTGTACGTTGCATTCTTTAGAAAAAAAAGAAAAAAAAAAAAAAAAGATACATTTTCTGTCTTTATGAAAATGGCATTACTTAGCTGTTTTTATCGTTTCATTAGCAGCTACAGGAAAGTGTGGAACTGTTAACCTTTAAATATGAATATAAAAAAGGTGCCCACTGAAAAGGTGCACTGAATTGCAATTACAAAACAAAAAACAAGTTACAAAAAAGAAAACAAAGAGAATAAAATCACAAAGGATGTGAAACAGAAAAAGAGACTGCGTTGAGATGACAGACAGCTTTCCTCTTCCTTAAGTTTTCCTGCCGAGGATCCACACTCACTTGTGATGTCATAGACTACCACGGCATTGCAATATAATAAATTAATTCAAGATACACACGTTCACTTATAATGTTACATGCACACACAGATAAGAGTCACATATACAAACAAAGAAAAAGAGACAGGACCAGTAGGTTCGGTTCGACACTCACCGCTCTGTTCTCCCAGAAACACCAGCTTGAATTTGCGGAGCGGGTTGCCGAAATCTCCTGTTGCAGACATGCTACCGGTTCCGCTGGGCCCAATGTGGGTATGAATGTGTTGCTATAAAAATCTAAATGCTCTAAACAAGAAAATAAAGCCGCTAGTATCCCTGTTGCTCTAATTCGGTTCAGTTTGAGACTCTCTGCCGCCTATTCAGGCCCAATTCTGCGCCGCAACCTAACGTGATACTCAGAGGTGTGATTGACAGCTGAGCTCAGCCTATGGAGTTTGAGAGAATACAATGACATGCGTCCATTCAACACATCGTTCTTGTCAAACTAATGACACAGTAGTGGATAATTAATTAGATCGCACTAAAACTATTCAGATATTGTGTCAATACCACTATCGTTTAATTTATGCTCCTGACATTTCCTGTGATGTCTTTACTTTATAAAACGTACATTTAACAGGCTCGCTGAACTGATTCATTCGTATCCATATTCATATGTGATGTTTTTGAGTTCTTAAAACGTATTTGCTTGTGGAAATGAAATTGTTATTTGTGTATATATGGAAACAAGGCGGGGCGCCACACATGTTAGGTTGAGCTTTGCAAGCGCAACGTCACGTTTCTAGCGTCACTGCCCTGCATCATCGCGTTCCGTTAACCCTTGAATTGAGTGGGAGTTTGCCAGAATTTAATTACTCTGTCGCTGCCAATTTTAAGATATGATACAATTATATGTAAATATAGGAAAAATTACACGCATGCTTGCTTTCTGTGTCAGTGGTTATTTATGATTATTTCAAGTACCTAGTGTAGAATAGGTTGATATTAGGACAATTTTGTGAATTCTGTTTTTTCAATAAATATTTCAACATTATATTTTATTCCTAAGCGGGGTAATAAGACTTACTAAAACAAATAATACTGATTTCAACCGCAAATGTGACGCTTCTGCTCCAGCAGGCGGCAGCAATGCGCCGGACGAGCGTCGATTCACCTGCTGAAATCCGTGAAGAAGATCGGGCGCAGTACATGCGCCTCTCGGATTGATGTTTACGGATTTTGGTTACTTGTCTCTAAACTTTACCGCTGAATTAAAATATTAGCGTGAAACAATGAACACTTTACTGACCAAGGTGCAGTATTTAGAGTATGGCATCTCAGTTGTTGGTGTATTGCAGTGGTTTATGCTGTTGACATGAGCCAAGGTCGTAGTGGAAGAGCAGACCAGAGTGTTTTAATTAAAAAAAACAAAGTTTACTGTATTTCCAATCATCATTTTTTTGTGTGTGCTATTCTTTTGCTTCAGGTTTTATTGTTTCAGAACACACGGGCGCTGTTGTGTGCAGCAGCATCGCTTCAGTAAGTGTCATTTTATTGTTAGATGCCTTATCTTCGATCTCTGTCTGTGTGTATATATATATATATATATATATATATATATATATGTGGTGATCTTTAAAACTGATCAGTGTTTTTGCTCTAATGTCATAGAAGTCAAGTGTTAACTACACAAATGCCTTTGGGTAAGAGCATTATATCTATTGATATATGTTTAGTTTTCATATATGTTTGTGTGTACAAATATAAGTAACAGTTGTAAGTGATGTTTTTTTTTTTGTCTAACTAGGTGTTTTGCTGACTAGCAGACAGTATAGATCAATGCCCACACATGGTATTGGAAAATACAGACATCTTCTTCCAAAAGCATTGGTAAGACCTAAGGTTTTGTCCATCATCGGTGTAAAATGTTTTTATTACCAGTTAATAACATGTTAGAAAATAATTATTGTTACTATTCAGCCAAAGAAGAAGAAGGATAGAGTTCAAGTGAAGCAGATCAAAGCGGCCACAGCAACAGAGTTTGGTGTGTTTAATGTGTGTGTTTCCGGTTATGACATGACTCTAGTGGAACATTATTCCCAATACATCCACAATCTCTGCAATCATTTTGACATCAAAGTCGATGAAAGGTGGGATAAAGGGAGTTTTTTTTCTACAAAATTTAGAAAATATGCACCCAAACCAAAACATATTCTCAAGATCATGTATTTTCAACTATATGTTATTTTACATCCTATTAATTATTATTATTAGGTTGTGGTGAAATGAATGAGCTCTCATTTTATGTTTTAAAGCTGTGCCCTGCCTACGAAAAGCACAGAGGTCATGGTGATGCAGGAGCAAGGCACTAAGATGTATGTAGATGCGGTCCTGAAAACCCATGAGCGTATTGTTCAGGTGAATGCTTTGAGCTTGTGTTTGGTCATATGAATAAGTTATGAAATTGTTTGATTGACTGTAATTATTAATATAGGTATACTGCAGCTATAACCAATTTATTGGTGGTGTGTTTTTAGATCAGTGAAATGAAGGCAACACTTTTTCCCATATTTATGGAAGTCGTTCTGAAGAACCAGCCTGAGGGGGTGCGACTTTGTGTAAAGCAGGTCAGAAAATTACACCTTACACATACTGACACTGTTTTTATATTTATTTTAAATCTGTCTGGCTGTATTTGACACTCCTATCAACTTTTATGGAAACTGTAAGGCTTAATTTGTTTTATTTTTATTTTTTTCCAGCACACAGAAGCAGATTATCAAGCCCGGTTCAAAACAAGACCTGAGCTTGAGGGGCTTCTCGCAAAAATTCATAATTAATAAATTATATCAAAATGTTTTTCATATGAAATAACATGTCAGACAGTTTTCTACCCCATGTGTGCTGTAATGAATCTGTGAAGCAATAAACTCATAAAAAAGCAATAAAGACATGAACGTTTTCCATATTTAGGCATTTTTGGCTTCTTTTGAATGCAGTAACAGGAATTTGAGGAGCGTTGAAATTCATCGTCTCTGTCACTGTGCTGTAATGTTGTTGGCAGTATCACAATATTGTCCATTTTTATAAAATTATTCAGCAGCTGTTTTATAAAAGACTGCATTACCCAGAGTTCCAGGCTCCGTTTCCATAGTAACCATTTTTGACAACGATAAACTAACTTGAACAGAAAGAGCCAGTGTTGCCAACTTAGCAATTTTGTTGCTAAATTTAGCAACTTTTCAGACTACCCTAGCAACTTTTTCTTCCAAAAGCACCTAGCAACATATTTAGCTATTTTTAAAATTAATTTGGCAACTTTTGATAAGTGACTCAAACAATAAAAAGGCACAATTTACAATTTAAATTACACAAAAATTGAAAATCCAAAGATGCTTAGCAGTACACACATCACAGGAATTAAGTTAGCTGCTATTTGCAATTGTTTAATGTAATAGTAATAATAATAATTTCATAATTAAATACTGTTATTGTTCATTTATGAGACACTTTGTTAGTAGCTTGTACCTGCGATTGTTGATGAGTTAGTTACTAACTCATCAACAATCGCAGGTTGTTTTTCCATTTTTTCGCCACCTTTTCCATTTTTCTACATATTTTGCTTACAGTGTACTAACTGTTAGTACACTGTAAGAAATATATAGAAAAATGGAAAAGGTGCTAGTAATTTTCCAGGACATTATCCGTTGTAACCCGAAAATGCGTAATTAAAAATGCAGGTAAAAAAAGAACCTGTGGAAAAATCAATACAGAAAATTCCTTCATATTAACATAGTAGATTGTGCACTATTTTTTTACAGACTTTTCTTAGAGTGTAGCATACTAACTAACTACCAATACACTGCTTAAAAGTGTAATTGTTCAGAATTTGTAGTTTTACTTGTTTACTAGCTAATAATAATAATAAAAAAAACTTAAATTGTATAATCGTTCAAAAATGTGTAAGCTTTCGATAATTCAGTGTATTTAAAAATTGTTATTTATATTTGAATATTATATTATTCATATTATTACGAACAAATCTAAATGAACAGATAAAAATATATGTTTTTGCCATAGACTGTATTTGACAATTTTGCGTCGTGATTACGAAATGACGTCATCCCTAAATGACATCACAACATCATTTAGCAACTTTTAGCAACAAATCAACCTTCCTTTAGCAACTTCCCCTGAAAATTAGTTGGCAACACTGGAAAGAGCTCATGTTCATTCCTACTGAGAAATTCGGGTTTGCATTTGTGCAGTGATACGGTTAAAGTGCAAAGATTAACGAGCCAAACGGGCAGATAAACAGGCCATGGGGAAGAGACTATTACTCTATTTTGGAAATAAACCGCAACGCCACTGATGCTGACATAAAGAAGGCGCAAGTTACGAGTTGTTTGGTTTCTAAGTATTATGTATATACACTGCATACAAAGCAGAAAATGATATGGTTTACCGTCTTTTTGAGGACGTTTTATCTCTGTATCAGCTACCGGCGGCTCGCGCTGAAGCATCACCCGAGCAGCAGCAGCAGCAGCCACGCGCGCGCTGCCGAGCTCTTCTCTCTGCTCGCGGAGGCGTTTGACGTGCTGAGCGACCGTAAGTGCACAAGACAAAATATAGAATACAAACCTAAAATAAAACACAAAACAACCCTACAACATTGCTGGAATATGCGACACAGCTTTACAATACTTGCTATAAACGGTTTGATATTAGTTTTTGGTTCCTAGAACGTTCTGGCAAAACAAAACAAAATACAACCTAACAATAACAGTTAAAGAACGTTGTGTAGGCCTATAAGTTTTTATTGCTGTCACATAAAAGTTTATGAATGTTCATAAAAGGTTAAGATTTGTTTTCCCAAAATAGAACCATATACTAACGTTTCCTGGGATGGTATTGTTGGAGGTACCATGTAAATATTTGTCATGTTTCATTATTTTTCATATATACTTGGATCAAAGCAGTGTAGTATTACTATCTCAAACTATCACTGTACAATGGTGTTAAAGAAAACAGCACCAGACCTACAAATGTCTCACAGTTCAGCCCCTCATTTCCTTGTTTCCTGGTAAGCTGGACATTATATTTCTGTTTTTTTTTTTTTTTTTATCCAATGCAGCACGTAAAAAGGCCACATATGATACGTTTGGAGAAGAGGGTTTAAAAGGAGGAATCCCGTCTGAGCTGGGAGTGAATGGCGCCTGGTCATCAGGATATGTGTACCATGGAAATGCAGATGAAACGTTCAGACAGTTTTTCGGTGGAGATAATCCATTTGCAGGTTATTTTTATAGGATGAAAAAGCGGTGTTGTTTCTTCACTGAATGAGCTTCTTGTATTATTTTATGAATGTAAATTTTAAGAGACAGTCTGGTGCAATCAAGTCTTAAATGTTCATAATGTCCTGGTGTTTTAAAGAATCCCAGCTCTGATTAGTAATATCTGTCATAGAATTCTTCACCAATGATGGCAGTGAGGACAACAAAGCTTTTAAGAGCTTGCGTGGGCAAAAAGAAAAGCTGCAGGATCCACCAATTGAGAGAGACCTTCACCTCGCCTTGGAGGACCTTTATTATGGATGCACTAAAAAAATTAAGATATCCCGTAGGGTAAGTTTTACATAAAGGGGTGTAAATGACATCATATGGACTCATAAGAAATTAATTACAGAAGAGATGTGTTTGATACAGGTCATGAATGAAGATGGACACACATCCAGCATCAGGGACAAAATTTTAACCTTCACTGTAAAAGCAGGATGGAATGAAGGGATGCGGATCACATTTTCAAAAGAGGGAGACCAGGTATGACCAAACACATTTTTATCACAATTTTATTTCATTATGTATGTAAATTGATCTTGGTCATCACAGAATATAATTTTTTTTCTCCACAGGGACCAAACAGCATCCCAGCAGATATTGTGTTTGTCATACGTCAAAGGCATCATCCACGCTTTGACCGCCAAAACGATAATCTGTACTACACAGCACAAATTTCCCTTGAGAAGGTGAAAAACATTGTTTTCAGCACAAGCAAAAATGTATTTCATGTAGAATAATGTAGATAAATAGATTATGACAGAAGATATTTTCTTTTTTGGTCTAGTTTTCATGTTGAATATGTGATAGGTTTTTCAATCAGACCAACATGTTAAAAAAAAAAAACATTTCCACGCTAAAAGCCACCACTCAAGTTTATTCAAAATTATATTTTAGTATAATATGATTTTTAATATTGATATTTGTGGTAACTCTGCAGGCTTTGATTGGTTTCTCAGTAGAAGTTGAGACACTAGATGGCAGGCTTCTCAACATCCCCATCAATGACATTGTGCAGTGAGTAACCGTTTCCTTCTCTCTGTAGCATACAAATAATAGACAAGTCAGCACAAATTTAATGTTACTCAAAACTTTTGAATGTGGTTTTCATCTTTAAGACGGTTTCATTTTAATTTCTTTACACTATCAGCCCTCAGTACACCAAGGTTGTGACCGGGGAGGGAATGCCACTAGTCAACAACCCGTCCAAAGAGGGGACCTGATCATTCGCTTCATTACACATTTCCCAGAGAAGCTTCTAAAACAAGCTCTCTCATCAAAACTCATCCAGGCATCTTAAAGTCCATTCAGTCATGAATAGAAATGTTCATTATAGGAATTAAAACACTTGAAACTCAAAAGTATTAGAGTTTGAAATTGGCGTTTTTTTAAGAGCCTCATTTTATTGGCACAAGAAAGACAAGAATAGAGTAAAAGCCTAAATCAAATTGAAAAAAAATGTTTAATAGACATGTAAACAATTCTTACAGAAAACCTAAAAACGTCAAGAGAAAGTCAGCTAACTCACATCAGCTAAGCTCAACTAACTGCATTCACTGCTTAAAGAGGAGTGACCCAGTTATGGCGTGCTGCCATCAGGGCCCGTTTCAGCTGTTCATAGGTGACAAACATAACCACATTCCAGGAGCCCAGCCTCAGGAACGATGGCATGAATCTAAAAAGAACACAAACAGATGTCAATTCTGCATTCATCCTCAAATCATTAAAGTAAAGCTATAGTGGGTTAAGAGAACTGACCCCTTGTAAAAAGCCTTTGGTCCCTCTTTAGTCAGCATGGCTACAGCACAGTTGAGGGCACCGCTGTACTGGCCCTGGGCGGAGTTCATGTATCTTGTCTTCACAACATCAACAGGAGAAGCAATAACTGTAGTGCAGAAACCAGCTCCAAATGCAGATGTGAAATGGCAGGGAAGGTCATCTGTGAAGAAAAACAACTATAAATTGGTCACAGTCTGACACTTAAGTTTGCAGTTGTTTTTTCTGCAGTCTCATCTTACCATTCATTAGTGATGATTTTATAAGTGCATCTTTGATAAGGTCATAGGTCACCAGCTCAGTACAGTTTACAATGGCATTGCGGGTGATGTTTGGGCCAGTTCCTATAAAAGGATTAAATAAATTAGAAAGGAGAGAATAATAATTATTATTAAATATATTTGCTTTTAAAATAACTAATATTTATCAATTATAAACTAAACTAATATTAACTAATAACATTTCAATAAATAATAATTGTTGAAATATAATAATAATAATAATAATAATAATAATTATTATTATTATTATATTAAAATATTTGGTTTAATATAAACTAATTACATTTTTTGTAATAAATAGGAATTGTTATTAATATAATAAATTATTAATATAGTTTATAATAAAGTAAATTCTAATAATACTAATACAATAAATAAACCTTTTAATTTAGAATATAAACTAAATAAATAGTTTATTAATTTATTATTATTATTATTATTATTATTATTATTATTATTATTATTATTATTATTATTATTATTATTATTATTATTATTATTATTATTATTATTATTATTATTATTATTATTATTATTATTATTATTATTATTATTATTATTATTATTATTATTATTATTATTATTATTATTATATAAGAATCAAATAATTACAATGGATTTCATTAAATATTATTATTACTATTATAGACCTAAGTTGGCCCAGGCTCACCTTTCCACAAACCACGAAACCCCTCTTCCTTTGCAATGGTCCGATATGCATCCATAGTACCATGGTAACGTTTACTGGCCCCGGCGCTGATCTGAGCCTGAAATCGTACCTTCACCACATCGGTGGGTTGGGCCAAAGCCACTGCCATGGCTCCAGTCGTACAGCCAGCCATCAGCCGACTGCCAATCCCAACATCTAAGGAAAACAATGCATTGAATGGTGTTAATATGAGAGGTCTTACATAAATAGTTTCCAATCATTCCTGCATACAAGCGTTTGACAACTTACGATCTGAGCCTTTGGTGTAGAACTGCTTGACGGAATCGTAGAGGCCAATGCGTACAGAGGCAAAGCTCATCTGACGCTGCAGTCCTGCAACCAGCCCGCTGTAGAGACTGCGTGGCCCCTCAACACGCACCATGGTGCTGATCGTGCCAAACACTCCACGATATTTCACCGGACCATGGCCTGTGTTCGCGGGACTTTTGGTCTCCCCCTGAATCTGTACAGAACAAAAGGTGGATGGAGAAACTTTACAGAATCACAGGGGAGGGAAGCAGCATCTTCAGCTTAAAAGGGTCCATAGTGATCCTGGGTCAGCAAGGACAATCATCAAGGCCTGGACCTGCTTACGTTGCTAGTGTAAAGAGAGTCAAGAGAAATAGATAAAGCTGATGTCAGTATGAGTGTGACTAAACATTCCACCGGAAATGAAAGGTTAGTTTATTATTGTTGCTGCGAGTTGATCTGGGTCGTTTCCAGACTCAACCGCTGGCTCAGCTGTCACTTGAGCAAAAAAACAACAACAACAACAACAACTGTCTTTTAAACAAAGCACTCCATTTCCACACAACAAAGACTCACCTGAAGTCTAACTTTTGCTGTGTCCAGTGGAAATGTGAAGAGGTCTGCAATGCAGGCTGCAGTTCCTGCACCAATAAACTTCACAGTGGCTGTAGGAGGCACATCACCAGCTCTGAATCCAACCATGTTTATTTGCAGTCGGAATCACAGGAGCGTAAAGGTGAAACGGAATGTGTTGAAAACCAATGAAGTGAACACACGATAGGTGAACTCCACCCTAACCTGGATTTAGGAAGACACATAATGATTACTTTCTTTTGGAAGTTTATGATATGCATTTAAAACCTTAAACCTGTTTTATTGTGCAAATTTAAGCCACTTGGGGTGGGCCAATGGATGTGCTTAATATAGGTGTAAAGGCTCTCTGACAGTCAACAGACAAAAAAGGAACATGTTCTCTCTGACATGCTAATCTATATGCTGACGTCATCATCCTGTTTACATCTGGGGCGGCTTTGTTGACTTTCTACCAGACAAAGGAGCTTCAATAAAGGAAGTGCGGATACACACAAAATGCGAGTTTATGTAATGCTGGCATAATATTACATCAACTGTATTAACCTTATTTATTAAAACAAATAAATAAACAAACGCTTTTGGAAAACTTTTTACCAACCGGTTTGGATGAGAACTTCAAGATTCTCTGAAAGTATCTCTCTGGTTGAAATGACTTTCAACTTGAATTTTGTTGCCGCGTTCTTCCATAGAGAAACGATTAGAACCCGTACAAATCAAAAACATACTCCAAAGTCTGAAAGACAAGAATATTTCCGTGTTACATGCATATCAGCATCACTTGAAATAATCAAAGAAAACACATTCGCAAGTAACGGAGAAAGTCTATTCGCAGTATGTAAAGTCACAATACTCACCTTAAACAAAAATGTATTGTGTCTACGAATAAAAGTGTTTACAGTAGGGAAAAAGAACTTCCTCAGAAAGCAGCCGGTTAAAGTCCGCAGGTGCTCTGTTCTGTTCTGAACGCTGCGGCGACCCTCTTTAAACACATTCGAGGGAGTCACCTGACACGCGTGACGCGTCGTTCAGCGCATAAATTAACGCCTCTGTTGTTTTCACGGATAAAACCCGTTTTCCAAAGTTTAACTTACGTTGTATTTGGTTTAGGTGATTGAACTAGAAATAATGTAAAAAAAAAAAAAAAAAAAAAAAAAAAAAAAAAAAAAAAAAAAAAAAAAAAAAAAAAAAAAAAAAAAAAAAAAAAAAAAAAACGGTAAATGCTGTTAAACGTTCACACACTAGTGCAAAATTAAATATGAAGTTTCGAGTCAAAATACTATTACACAATTGTGTATTTTCTCTTGATCAAACCAGTTAAGCATTCGATACATAGATTTTTGGTGTTTCCTATATTGCTTTGTGTTTTAGAATTCTTTGCTGTTTAAAATGATCTGAATGGCAAGTTCCTATTGTGACAGCATGTAATGACAACATGCCAAGACTTTGAGGTATGTGCTTATACACATATGAAATTGTGTATGACTTTTGATATGACTTTTTCAAACAGAAATCTGCCCTCAGAAATATTCGTTGGAGTAAGTGTGACAACTAGCCCCAGTCTCCCCTATTTGACTGAAACGCTGAGTCATTCTGAATTAGTAGGCTATGTGTAGTTGCACATATGTTATTCATAAAGAGGACATTCAGTTCTCCCTCTTTTAAAGACACATTCCCTGGATTTGCTTCTTCACGTGGATTTATATTGATATAATACTCTCATAGCTGTGTTTTTCATCAGATAGCCTAAGAACCAAAAGCATTTAAACTACATACCTGAACCAAACTTCCCATCACCATATCAAGAAGACAGGGCTGCTGTTTAAGTTTCACTTAGATAAAACAACTGTACTTGAGAATGTACATCTTCAAGGCAAAACAAAATAATTGTGTTCACCTGACACATGGGTTAAAAACACACAGTGACACACAACCTTCATGAACTACACACTGCTGCTTTTTATTGTCTTCAGAGAGAGTCAGGCATCACTTCTATCACACTTCCTGGGTATCCTGAAACATGTGAGTGCTTTTTGTCACTCACACTTCACAGATTTGCATTTGTCTTATTGTTAATGTGGCATATTCACTTCCTCTTTTCATCAAGTAAACTTCACAGCTCCGTTCTAACGAAGTTTTTGTTTGTCTTTGTTTTGTTTTGTTTCTCCTGTTTGTCTGTCTTTTATAGCTAATCAAGAGAGTGCAAAAAGCGGTTTGAAGCCACTTTCTGAACCTTTGTCATGTGAAAGCCATTTGTATTTTAAGCTTCCTTCTGGGTGTCGGGCTCTCAGTTGATTTGATCATTGATTGATGAAAAGACTCTAGGGTTCAGGGGAGTCAAACACATGTGATCTAAATGAGTTGCATGTTGCTGATTTGATACTTAAAACAGTTTAGAACTCATTAATGGAAACAGAAATATCATAAAAAGCTTTATTTCCAACAATGTACAGTTTATAGTATAAATATGTATTCATTCATTATGCTATGGACCCGTTTTCTTGACATATTTAAAAGTATATACATAAAAATGGACATACAGTATATCCTTGCAATTGATAATACCACCTCTCTCAGTGTCCAATGACGTTGAGACTAAGACAAAAATGCATTTTGCTTTCTCAGCCATACGTCTCGTGATTTTTGGCAACTCATCTTTCATTTTTGATGAGCTTGACCTTTGGCCTTAAAAAGTTGCAGCCTTTTTCAGTGATAAGACTTAACCTGGGAATCCATTTGTTGTCATAACAGAGGACTTGACTTATATTTGCACTCTCTGTTTAATCAAAATCAGAAGATACTGACAATGTCCATTCAGAAAGGTGACTCCCATGAGCACTGAATTCTAGTCAGACCTCTCTTGATTTGCTCGTAGGAAACGAACATCACGATGTTCCAGGATCCTAAGCGCAGGAAGGAGGGCATGAAGCTGTTGGGGAAGATGAAGATGGCAAATTTATGGTACTGAAAATAAGAGTGTTTACCATGTTGTGTATAAATAATAGTTCACAGCATATTTTTCTTACCCCTTATAGAAAGCCGTTGGTCCCTCTTTGGTCAGCATAGTGAGGGTACAGTTTAGTGCACTGCTGTACTGTCCTGCAGTTGAGTTCATGAAGCGGGTCTTTACCACGTCTACTGGAGATGCCACAATTGTGGTGCAGAATCCAGCTCCAAATGCAGCGGTAAAGTGGCAGGGTAGGTTATCTAATGAGGGCATGTGTGTTAGACAACAATAACATACAAATAACCATAATGAAAGCATAGTGTTCATAGGTTTCATACCTGTCATGAGGTCATATTTTAATATGAGTTCCTTAATGATGTCGTAAGTGACCAGCTCTGCGCAGTTCACAATCGCGTTCCTTGTGATGTTTGGCATGCAGCCTAAAATAGAGAAACAAATACATTTATCTCCACCAGAAAAACTCCACTTAGAATGACATGTGAAAGTTGAATTTAAAGGGATAGTGCACCAAAAAATCATTTACTCACCCTCATGTTTTCCCAAAACTTTTATTTTTTCTAACAAGAAGATATTTTGTATGTGTATTTTTATCCATACTATGAAAGTCAGTGGGGTCCACTGTTGCTTTGGACAGTGCTATTTTAGTATTTATTAATATTTTAAATAGGTTTATTTGAACATTTTCAGTTTTAATTTTAGTTCACGTTTTAGTAATTGTATGCGCTTCTGTCATTTTTATTTTTGTTTTTTATATATACAAATTTAGCTTTAGGTTATTTTTCTTTCAGTTTTACTAATATTACCTCTTAAGCTTAAACTTATTTATTTCAGTTAGTTGCCAAGGCAACATTTCAAATTTTCATTTAATTTTTTAATTGTAATTTTTTTATCTAATATTTTATTTTATTTATTTAATCTTTATTTCAATGACCAAAATCTAATAATTTTAGATTTAGTTAACAATATTGGTTTGGCCCCCCCATGACTTACATTGTGTGGACAAAAAACATTCTAAAAAAATTTCCGAAGGTTATTTGCAGAGGGTGTATGGGAACGTAGGATAAAGCTCTTATCTGGGCTTCATTAATGGCTAATTCACTCTGTGCCAGTGTGCCCATCGCGAATTATCGTACATTAGACACAATATTTCAGGGAGGTGAAATTTTTTCCAGAGTACTGCTGAAACATGAGCCATTTTGCCTTTGTTTCCAGCATTTTTCCATTTCAGCAACAAAATGGAAACCTTTTACTGGTGTTCTCACTGCATGCACTTTATTTGTGTGAAAGAATCAGACACAAGCCTTGCTAAACAAAGACGCCTACACAGAAAATAAATAGCTAAAGTTTGGCTCACTGGCATTGCTTTGCTCATGAGGAAATGTGTTATCACAATGTGATAATTAGCCATCCTAAATCGCATAAATTAGTTGGACCTTTGGTGCCCAGATTCACCTCTTGTGCATTTTCTCAATAAATATCATTAAAAGAAGTGCTGTTTTGCTGATGTTGTTTGTATGATGTGGATTTCTAATTGAAGAATCAGTGGATATTAATATCAGTGCGGCTTATAACAGATACACTAATCCCTTGTTATTTTAAAGGTGAAATTTGTAATTTCGAATCCACTATAGCTGCATCAATTTCTGCAATTTTTCAGATAAACAGCTAGTAAATTATTAAACCTAAAATGGTTGTAGAAGTGAAATATTTTGAAGAATGTTTTAACTGGTTTTGTCCATACAGTACAACATTTAACGCCATAAAATTTCATTGTATATATAGACAAAAAATGTTTGTCATTTCAGTATTTTTTTGTGTTGCACAAAAAGAAGAAAGTAATCCAGGGTTGGAATGAAATGAGGGTGAGTAAATCATGATAGATTTTTTGGGGAGGGTGAACTATCCCTTTTTAAGAACTCTCGCTCACCCTTCCAAAGCCCACAAACACCCTCATCACGTGCAATAGTCCGATATGCATCCATTGTGCCGTTGTATCTCTTTAATCCATCAGACTGACGAGCTTGAGCCTGGAAACGCACTTTTACGACATCTGTGGGCTGTGCAAATGCGACAGCCATGGCCCCGGTAGTGCAGCCAGCCAGTAGGCGAGTCACTATGTTTGCTTCTGAGAAGAAGAATGCAGAGTGTTTGCATCAGTATCAGCACTATCATTTCTGTCTCTATTCCAACCAACAGTCTGATACTCACTCTCAGATCCTCTGGTGTAGAATTGCTTCATTGAGTCATAAAGACCGATACGAACAGATGCAAAGCTCATTTGTCGTTGCAGTCCTGCCACCAGGCCATTGTAGAGACTCCTTGCGCCCTCTGTACGCACCATAGTGGTAATGGTGCCAAATACTCCACGATATTTCACCACATCTGATCCTGAGGCAGCTGTAGATTCTCCCTGGATCTGAAATAAGATTATGAATGATCATAATGTGCTTTTTGTGTTGTTTTTGATTGTTTCAGGCACATAAAGTCAATGCAAACACAATTCAAACAACTCTTAATGGGCTCAAAAATTATGTTCTTTATGATAAACTTTTTGCATATATAGCTTACATATTATTATTATCATTATTAAAATGATATATATTTTAATAAGTCCTCACCTGAAGTCTCACTTTTGCTGTGTCCAGGGGGAAAGTAACCAGATCAGCAAAACATGCTGCCGTACCAGCACCAAAAAACTTGACAGCAGCAGTTGGTGGCAGGTCAGTAGGTTTGATTCCAACCATTTTTTTCTGTACTTCTGGCAGGATTTTACTTTATTTTTATCTAGAGCTTTTTGTTTTCCCACCTGAGAGAGAATAAGAAGCAGGCCAAAACTGGTTATGAATCATTTTAATTTGGATTCAAGAATTTATATGTTTATTTTAATATAGTCTTCGATTTACCTCAGCAGACTGCTGATTCTAGATCAAGTTTCTTCCAAAGGAATAACTCTCTTGTCTTTTGTTTTAAATGCTTCAACACCTTTGGCCATAGAAAATTGTGGCTCAGTGTCCCAAAGCAGCATTCCAGCAGCGCAACACTACAGAGTAACATTTAGGATCAATGCTAATCGTGTGACTTGGTGATTATAGATAAAGCATGACTGTAAAATCAATATTTCTCATAACTTTAGCTGTGAATACCCAGAAACACATGAATCAGCATACAATATTGTATGAAACACAATAAATTACAGTGTATCTTTCATTACTTAAGCTCTGGGTACCCAGAAACATAGAAATCAGCATACAAAATCATTTGAAATATAATAAAATACAGTGTGCTCACCAACCTTCTGGTAATATAAAATTGTTAGTCCAAATTGTACTGACAGAAAGAAAAATAATTATTTTCATCCAGGGTTTAATCCAGTGCGTTTTCCACCTGAGTATGGTGGAACCGGTCTGTCAAACCTGAATTTATAGGTGTGTGTGCCGGTTGAAGCCAGTCCCATTTATTCCTTTCATCACACATGAGTCTAATTTTAACTTTGTGTGGCGGAAGAACATGTACACTTGTTTACTAGTTGTCACCAATAGGGTTGTTGTCTGCCCTTCATATCAAATGTACTCACATATCAGTAAAAATAATATACTA